TCAATGTTTCAGGCTACTTCAGAGGAACACTGGGGTCTTATAAAGGAGTGTACTACCTCTTGATGGCTTTTAGTTTTGTGTCTGCGTTCTTCTCTTTTTTAACACCAGTAGTCAAGTCCTTCGTAGACAAGAAAAAAAAAATTCCAAATGAGTAACTGTCAGAACAACGGCCATTCTAGAATCTTTAAAGCACTCTCATAGATATCACTGACATTTGTTTGAGAATCTAAGTCAACATACTTTTATGATCAAAGGAAATCTCTTACTTGTACATAGTACATTGTACTGATTTTAGAACTGAAAACGGTGAACCTTTTTGCTCCCGTGAAAATGACGGGGTGAGATTTCGCCCGCTATTTCTCGTTCCCGTGGTATTGACGGGCTGGAGTGTTCAGTAGTAACGCTTCAATAAGAATAAAACTAATTCATTTCTTTTTCCAGGAAAACATTTTGTTTCTCATTTTACACACCTGATGGCAGTATCAGGATATTTTTAAGGTAATTGTAGATAGTTAGTTTATTTTAAACTAGTTGCAGCACAAATCAAATACGCAATACAAATACAAAAGCCAAAAAATAGGCACTTTTATGACCGTTTTCTTGAAAATCGTTATGGGGTTAATTACTTTTGATCTGGTGATCGGATTTTCAGGAACTAAGGTACAATCTTAATGTTCACAGGGTTAATAATGCCTTTTTTCTGTACGGGGGACATTTTAAGAAATACTTCCTCCGAATAAGCATGCATTATAAAAAATTCTGGATCAAATTACGGCATTGGCACAAAATCCATTTTTACTGCAAAATATTATACCTTCATTTTTATACTAATATTGACTTATTTAGACTGATTCAGCGATTTTACGGTAATTATACTGTAAAAGTTACGGTGTATCAGATTTTTTGTTCCGTATCCTGTTTCGATGAAAATGGATTTTACGGTTAAAAGTACCGGCAGTCACAGTACCAGAATTATTTAACCGTAATTTTATTTTCATCTAATTTGGATTTCTGAATCTCAAAGAAGTTGGCTCGGAAAGGTACCTACAGTCTAAAAAATATCCTCCCATTAATTTATTTTTAAAAGTGGTAGAGAGTTACCTTTTTTATTGTTAATTTCACTTTTTGCGGCTTTATTAAATTCTATCATTCGAAAATACATCTATGGCAAAAATAGTGTTTCATAATATTCCTTTTTTCTTACAATTTCCTTTCTTTTTTTTTGATTGAAAAAATTTTAATGGTGAGGTGAAATGATTTGTGTTTCGTTTTAAACGAAAAAGTACAAATCTAATTTTAAATGACAAAGTACTAATTTTGTATTTTTCATCCGTCGTTGAACAGCCGACCCAATTTTGGGTTTACGACTATTAATGTTCAACTTCGTTAGCCTTGTAATTTTGAACCAATCGAGAAGACAAGGAAACTCCTGGATCGGTAACCCCAGGGGTATTGATTTGTTATGGGAACATGGAGGACTTTGTGACTCGACAGATTTCACGTACATCAGTTATCATTTACTACACGGGGAGTCTTCGGTCTGTCTGGGATCGAACCCACGAACTTTTGGACATGGGCCCAGTGCTCTACCAACCAGGCTATTTCCGCAACAAAATACAAATTTGAAATAATAAGTTTAATAGCTTTTGACAAATTAAAAATTTCAGAATCCAACTTTTTAAAAAAAGATATTTAAAAACTAGTTGGCGAAAGCCGTTTAAACTATATATTTTTTATTTACTATAAAATAGTTTGAAATGGTGTGAAATTTTGCATATCTTACAATCAAAATTGTTTCAGCTATCTTACATTCTAACTACATCCTTAGTAGAGATAAGGTGAAATACTAGAAAAAGGGAAATTAACATTAAAAAGCCAAAACTTGCGATTGTTTTTGAAGCCAAATGACCAGATTTCTATACCATAATTTGTGGACAAATCAGCGTAGCGTCCTCAAAATATTTGATGATTTTTGGACACCCATATGAAAAACACTAATTTATATGTAGCAAATAGTTTTTTTTAAAAAATTAAAACTAATATTAAGAGAACCATCTTCATGAAACTTGATTTGATTATCGAACAATTTTGGTACATCATATGATATTCTGCAGTTGTTCAACACATGAAAAATAAATGAGCACATGATTATTAAAAGCTTTTTTAATTTCATCATTTATCACATAATTTCAGCATGGTGCCCTTTCACTTTTATAGATCAGTTATAAAAAATACTTTGTTTTAAATATTAGTTATAAAATTTAAACAGTATTTATAAATTTTAAAAATTAATAATTTTTAAAATAAAGCCATAAACTGATGCATAACTAATAGTTGTGCAACATATCTTGTCTCTATATCTTGATAATTTAATCTTATGATAATTTTACTTTTTGCGTAATTCACCATATCTCGAGAACTTATAAAACGAATTGAAAAAAATTTTGCTCACAATTATAAAATTCGTTTAGCCAAAGATCTATAAATAAATCTATGTAAAATAAAAATTTTATTAAATATTTATTATTTTTTTATTATTTTATTTAATAATAGTCGAAAAATTTTTAAATTGTAAGGTATGCAACTTTTCACATAATTTTAAGAAGGCTATTTTCAAGTTCAAAATACAAAATTTGTATGAAATTGGTCGAAAAGTACTTGAGAAATCTAATTTAATATTTTTCAAAATTTGATTTCTCAGGAACAATTTCACAGATTTTGCCCGAATTTTGAAATGCGTCGTTTAAAGTTGCATTCTTTAAAATTATGTATAAAAAATTGTATACCTTACTGTTTAAATCTTTTTTTCTACTATTATTAAGTCAAATAATAATAAAAAAATATTTAGTAGAAGTTATATTTTTCATGTATTTATCTTTGGATAAACAAATCTTATAATTATGTGCAAAAATGTTTCAATTCGATTTAAAGTTCGCGAGATACGATGATTACGCAAGAAGTAAACTTAACATTGAGGGGGTCTAAACTTTGGATCGCTCTTCTGTGCAAACTCTTAGGACCATATATCCCATATTGTGGCTATCCCTATATTTTGTAGGTCACAAATCCGAATACATTGGAAAACAAGTAAGTATGTTCAGAAAAAATACGTTTTTGTGTCTGATTTCGTAACCTAAAATAGTGTCTGCACTCAATTAATTTGCATATTTGAGGTCACCCCCTAAAACCGTTAAGATTGAGTTCTAGAACATGTAGATCCGATCATTAGATAAAAAGTTACTCAGGAGGCTTCGTTTATTAATTTTTTGCGCACTGTACATAAAGAGACAAGAAAAAAATGCAAATATATAAAAGTTTAATGAGAAAAAGATCAAATTACAGAGGAAAAGCTTAAAACAATTTCAAACTTAAATATAGTCTTCTCTTTTTCCTATTATAACCTAGAAATGAAAAAAAAAGAAACATAAATATGACAATTTTTAAACCTTTTAAGGTTTTTTTTTTTGTTTGAATTTGCATTATGTTCTACCCAATTAAATATAATATTTATAAATTAAATATGTACACAGTTACAAATTTATATACTTACGTATTTATGTTTTCTAAAATTATACTATTTACTTATTTTTTCATGTCATTAATTATATTGGTTACTTAAGAGAATACCTCGTTTTAAAATTTATAATACATTTTTATAAGTTGAAAAATATTAATATTTTTTCCTAAGTGTAGAAAAATCACCTCAGTTCACTGTACATTGTACATTTATTTTTTAAATACTCTGCTGTTTAAAATTAAACCGGTTATTTTAAGAACAACAGCTACTTTTTTCATGCAACATAAGAGTTTATGAAATTGAATACCGATTAACATCTTCAAAACGGGCGACACATATATGCATTTTCAGGGTGGCGACAATCAGGGTAAAGAAGGTCACCAAACAACTTCTTAAGCAGTTTATTTGTGGGTGAGTTTAACTTGTGGGTGAGTTTATTTACCTCTATTTAGTTCAAATAAAAAAAAAATTAGAGTTAATGTAGATTTGAAGAGGAAAGGACCTTTTGTCTAAGCCTTTCCAGACGGGCAATTCACCACTACTATAATGACCGATTTCTCGAATATTTGTCCGATTACTGCTTTTCTCTAAATAAAACTATTAACCATCTGCCCTTCCATATCCCTGAAATTGAAAGTTATGGTTGAAAAGGCTTGGTTGACCGAGGAAGTTGAATCACCGCTCCATGTCTTTCTAATAACTATTGTGACATTTTTTCATTTTTTTCGAGCAAAAGTGGAAAACATAATTTTAAAAAATTCGTTTAACACTTTCCAACTCCAAAACTTATTGAAAATTAAAAGAAAGGGCAAAAGTTTTTTTTTCAGACATAAGAGTAATAAGACATAAAAAGAGAAAGGAAATTTCATTTACCACTTTCCAACTCCAAAACTTATTGAAAATTAAAAGAAAGGGCAAAAGTTTATTTTAGACATAAGAGTAATAAGACATAAAAAGAGAAAGGGTTTCTTAGAAGCAAAAATTTCGTTTTCCACTTTCTAACTCTAAATCTTACTGAAAATTAAAAGAAAGAGTAAAGGTTTTTTTTAGACATAAGAGTAATACGACATAAAAAGAGAAAAGAAATTTCGTTTACCTCTTTCTAACTCCAAAACTTATTGAAAATTAAAAGAAAGGGCAAAGATTTAGTTTTAGACATAAGAGTAATAAGACATAAAAAGAGAATGGTTTTTTTAGACATACAAATTTCGTTTCCCACTTTGTAACTCTAAAACTTATTCAGAACTAAAAGAGAGGACAAAGGTTTTTCTTTTTTAGACACAAGACTTATGAGACATAAAAAGAGAAAGGAAATTTTGTTTTTCTCTTTCCAACTCCAAAACTTATTCAAAATTGAAAGAAAGGGGAAAGGTTTTTCTTTTCTAGACACAAGAGTCAAGAATCAAAGAAATAATAATTCATGTGATATTAGTTTTCCCAAAATTAATTTACACAGCACAAAAAAAATCAACTTAAATCTAAAATAACTTGAAACTTGAATTCTCATTCAATGCATTTTAACGTCAGAATAAATATATTTTTAATGAAATATTGAAAAAAAATTTTCAAAGAAAAATCATGAAGCGGAAAGTTATAATGTTTTACTAGCTTACTGGCAGTAAATGTTTTCCCCAAATGCGTATGACATTCGTTTCTGTCGTAGGGGTAGAAGCAGGTGTAACTTCACTCTCTTTAGCAATTGAAGTTTCGTGGTGTTCATTAGTATCCACGGTACTTGGTGATTCGTGCACTTGGTAAGTATTTGTTGATATCAAAGAACAAGTGGAATTAATGAGTTCGTAGCCATCAGAGCATTTGCAAGATGATCCTGAATGGTTGGGTAGGCATAAATGATGGCATTTATTGTTAGAGCAACGATTTTCACCTATAATAGAAATTAAGATTAGTTATACATTAGAAAATTAATGCTTCTCTAAGAAGAAGAGAGTGCTGTGTCAACATGAAGGCTCTGAAAAAAAAAAAAAGAAATTTTTTGAGGGAAATTTTTATTTTTTCTGGAAGAAGGATCTAAGCTATGGTCTCAGAGTATGTTTGGAGTGGAAAAAACAATCAAGTGCACTTGGTAACACAACGAAGCACCCCAAAAGAACCTCTCACACGACATCATGCTAGAAAAGAGAGGCCAGGATTAGGGTGGAACTTGGTGAATTCGCTTAAAATCAAAGTTCTCCAAGTATACTGTAAAGGTAGTATTCAACCGAGCCGTAGTGGCTCAGGGGATAGAGCAGTTGCCTTCGAATGAGGTCCGCATCCAGCTCGCGTTTATCACAGTGCTGACGTAAAATAATCTCAGTGGTAGACGGATCATAAATCAGAGCCCCTTTGTCGCCTGGCTAACCATGGAAGGTCTTCATGGTTTTCCTCTCCATGTAACCCAAATGTGGGTTAGTTACATCAAAAAGTCCTCCACGAAGGCAAATGTACCTTAATACTTGATCCAGGAGTTTCCTTGTCTTCTGGATTGGGTTCAAAATTACAAGGCTACGGAGTTAAACATTAATAGTTGTAAACTCTAAATTGGGTCGGCTATTCAACGACTGTTATGAAATTAAAAAATCTAGTATTCAAGGTATTTGATTGTCTATTCCTTGAAATATTGAGTTGTCAACTAAGTTGCGAGCAATTTCCATTTTTTTTTAAATTTTTGATGTGTGCAAGGATTACAATTTATCTGCCAGTTCCTTTCTCGTTCGAATTCAAGGCGAATTTTCGCGGGTAAAAGTTGCTTTAAATGCTCCTACTGGAAATCAATTGGACGGTCAGAACAAGGTATGAGTTTGAAATTGACATTTCTATTATTGAACTTGTTAAACCAATCAAATCACGAGCATTTATTTCAGCTATTGCATGCACAGCACATATGATATTAGCAGCTTTTGCTGCCTTAGAAACTTGATTAAAAGCAAAAAGAAGAAGGTGGTGAAAATGATAATTTTTCTCAACTTAAAATTCAATTTTATTGATCTGAATATTTTGAATGAACATAAAGAAACTCGAATATAAAACAAAAACAAAACGTAAATACCAATAAGAACAGGGCATCCGCTTTCAAAAGTCAATTGAAAACCTAGGTAAGTTGACCACCTATCGAAACGACCCTCTATAGTCAAGATCCAAATTCATACTGTATGATAAAAAGGAGAAAAACCTTTGTAATCCAACCACGTGTTTATCTTGTATGTTGATCTCGGAAATAATTTAAATTTCTTACGGAATGATGTTTAATGCTTTTCTAAACTCTTTATTAGTTGACCATTTAAAAAAAAAAGTAAAGAAATTAGTTTGCCTTTATGTTATGGGTATTAAACCTTCATCTAAGTATTGCATTAAAAGCTATCTTTATACCCTATTTTCAAGTTTAGCACTCGGTGAAACTACTAAGGGCTTTTATAAAAAACTATATTTGTAAGTACAAACAAAGTTATTGTTGGAAGGAGTTTTTAACTTTTGAATCTGAATGAAAATTTAATTTTTGAGCATTACTAAAATCTCATTTTTGAAGCTTACTAATTATGTGCTGTGTACGCGCTAAGCAAAATTTTTAAAGTAATGTTAAAAAAAAATAAAATTCCACTTATATTTATTTTGATTTGTAATTTATGATATGTATATAAATATTATGAACAATTTCAAATTCATGAGAGTTATATTATTTGAGAACTGATTAAAAACACAGCATCCCCTTTCTATAAGTTGACCACCATTCAAAGCTGACTACTGAAACATAACATAGAAAATAGTCAATTTATACAGGTTTTACTGAGCAGTATTTATAATAAAAATATTTATATAATATCATGTGTATTTGTAAACTTTTGCGTGTTAAATTTTTTCAGATATACTGAAAGAACAGAGCGTAAATATTAACTAAGTAAAAATAACAAGCAACTTATTAACTTTGAAATTAATTTAATTAAACGTTGCATCTACTCAAATCGTCACTGTTTCGATGTCTTAATTTTGATTGGATGACAAAAATTTTATTTTGATTTAAAAAAGTAAGGTAAATTCGACGTAAAATAATGGATTATATTATATTTAAAGTACTATAAATCAAACGGAATTCGTTAAAAGCGTGAATTAAAAGGTAAATTAATTATTATAATGTGAGTTATACTAGACAAAAAAAGTAAATTGGACTTGAACATGCAAATTAAATTATGCTAAAAAACTTAAACCAAAATATGTATCTTTAATAAATAAGAAAGTTAATTTCTGTTTAAAAAATAAGATGAGAAGAAATTTAAATTGGAAATTTAATAAAATTCTAAAGAAATTGAATAAGAGTTTTGCCTTAGTCAAAAATAGATTGTAGAAACCGGTGCTAAATAGCTAGGAACTAAGGGTCCAGAAAATGATCCCAGTCAAATATTTAAAAAAAAAAGAATGAATTGTTTTCAAAAAAGTATTCAATGCTATCAAATTCAACCCCTGAACCCCACTCCTGGGGGTGAGGTGATTCTTTATTGCAGATTTAGATTATCAAGACAAATATATTCCGATTTAGCTTTGCATTTTACTTAACAGATGGCGTAGTAATTGTAAAACAATTTTTCCTATAAAAATTGCTTTAATGATAGATAATTTTCTGGAGATAATTCGAAGAATACGTTAGATAAAAAAAAATGAAAACAGCAACGTTTAATGTATTGAAAAATAAAATAATAATAATGACCCAAAATTTGATGCATCACCTCCGAGATTCACCCTTGTTGAGGGGATGAAAGAGGGACTCTTGTTTGAAGTCCTTGGATGCATTAGTAAATACTTAACATCAGTTTTTTCATAATTCAAACTGAATCAAATTCTCCTTATTATATAGATAACCTGTATATAATATTAATTTGAATTAGATTCTGAACTTGGTTGAAAAAGTTCTGTTGAAATCAAAAACGAGTACAACTAAAATATTTTCAAAATTAAATGAAATGTAAATTTTTTTTAATCGTGACAATTTGTAACATAATTTGCTATCTAAAGCTTGTCTAAACAGTACTGGAACTTTATTAAAAGCGTGTCTAAGCACGTAAACTGGACATTAACATAACACTTTCATAAGCATTTTCAAGACAGTAAGCATAAACTATTTGTTCATTTACCGTCTTAACTTGTAATGTTTACAAGTCAAGACAGGAAGTAAACGCATGCATAAGCACTCTTAAGAGTTTCAAAACTTTGGGAAATAAGACATTACCTTTAGATTGTTTTGCTTTATGAAATATCATGATGGCATTTGCTTTTACGTTGCTTGAGTGAACTGGAATACAGTCTTCGCCAATGAATTTATCACATCTGTATATTGTATTGTTGTCGTAGTTTGAAAAGAACAAGTAGTCTTCGAAGATTGCCATGCTTAGTGGTTTATATTGCCCCTTTTCCAGCAGAATTTTCCTGCAAATGAAAAGAAACCCGGACATGCATTTAGAATCTAACTATACATGAATTGTTATTCTTCAACCATGACAAACGGAAAAGCGTAGTGGACGATTTAAAATTTTCATGGGTGGGGAAATTTAAAGTGTGTGAAATATGAACGTATTTCTTTAGGTGAGTGTATTGATGAAAGAAATATGCAAAATTAAATTATATTTAAAAAAAATTTCTTTAATGGCGGGCACTTGGGACATTGACCCATTGGCCACAGGAATGCCAGAACTGCTACCCTCTTACCTAGTGGGCACCTGTGGAGCAGCGTCACCCACGTCACACAACCGCAAACCCGTTTATAGGGCGGGTCACATTCACACAAAGAAGAAAGGACATAGAATACAGAGAGAGAAAGAAGCATCCATGCCCTGAGCAGGATTCGAACCCGCGACCATCGGCTCCGCAGTCAGGCACGCTAACCACTCGGCCATCCGGTCGGCAGTAGCCGGAATAAGAATCGATGAAATCGAAGAAAAATTATTATATAATTTTTCAATAATATTTAGCTTATAATTGAAACATTTTTACACGCAATTTTAAAGTTGGCTATCCAAAGATAATTCCATGTAAAAGATGCTTTTAGCAAATATTTATTACTTTATTAAAGAATGGTCGAAAAATTTTAAATTGTAAGGTATATTTTTTTGCATTATTTTAGAGAATGTATGGCAAGAACATGGTAAAACACAAAATTTGAGTGAAATCGATCGAATAATTCCTAAGCCAAAAGTAAAATTAACATTAAGGCATCCAAACTTTGCAGCACTTTCCTGACCGGGGGCCGTATTTCCCAGATTGCTGTACCTCAGATATTTTGAGGGTCAGAAATCTGAATCCATCGAAAAATTTGTATGTTTATTCAGAGAAAGTACGTTTCTGTGTGATTTTAAGTACGTTTCCGTAACTTAAATATCGTCTGTACTTATTAATTAGCATATATGAGGTCATCCCTTTGAACCATTGAGAATGAGTTAAAAGTTATTCAGGGTGCTCCGTTTTATTTGGCTCATCTTTCTCATAACATTCTTTCAAAGATAGACTAAAAATTTTAATGTATGAGCCATTTTTTTGTTGTCTGAACAGTTTCGGAATAATATTAACTGAGCCGGGATAGCCTGGTTGGTAGGACACTGATGTCCAAGAGTTCGTGGGTTCGATCCCCGAAGACTCCTAGTGTAGTAAATGACGACTGATGCACGTTAAATCTGTCGAGTCTCAAAGTCCTCCATGTTTCCATAACAAATCATACCTCTGAGGGTACTGATCAAGGAGTTACCTTGTCTTCTGGATTGGTTCAAAATTACAAGGCTACGTTGTAGAACATTAGTAGTCGTAAACCCAAAATTGGGTTGGCTGTGCAACGACGGTTATAAAACAAAATAATATTAACTGTATATTTTTCAAGATTTTAATATAATGCTAATAAAAATGTAATGCCTTATAGTTACTCTAATTTATAGCTTATAGCTTTTAACCTATTTTTTAGATTACATTAGGAAGTAATGTTGGAAAATATTTTCAATAAACGAATTAAAACAAAATTGAGCATAAATGATGTTTCATAATGGCATTATTTACCATGTCTGGCGTGTCTTTTCCCAAAATTTCAAAAAGTAAAAAATATTTTATCAAAATAGCTGCACAAATACAAATTTTATGCAACAACGAACCAAAAAAGAATTATCATTTTAATTATGAGAATATTTTTTTCTAGAAAAAAAGTTGTTGAAATTGCACAGATACGTTGTCTACATTATTAGAACTATTCAAAATATGGAATGCGAAGGACAGTAGATGAAAAGCAGCATTGAATGATTTTAGCAGAAGAAGACTCAAACCTATGGTCTATCCTTTCCCAATATTTGAAAATATATTCTAATTTGATATTTTGCACTGTGGAGTTTAAGCCAAAATCCCCGACACCAGTTTTTTATTACCCGATTTATTATTATTTGTTCAAGCTTGTTCTTCTGTCCTCTTGTTTCTCTACTTTTCTACTGTAATTTGGTGTTAAGACAATAAAAAAGGTTCTTGTTCATAGAATTAGGGTTAATTCTCAAAAGTGGTAACACTATTATTAAATGTTTTTTTATATTCTTATGCTTGTGGCAAATGGAATATTTTATATCCTCTTTCTGAATATATGCAGATCCGAAGGTGGAGCATATGAAATTTTAATTTTCGATAGTGGAAACTAAAATTAATAAATTTTTGGCTTCTTTATAACAAAGTTGATGCCAGTTTTTAATTTTTTGTAGGGATGGACGAACCCTGAGAATTGTCCATTTTATTTTTATTTACGCTTTATTCAGCTTGTTTTTTTGCTTTCGTCTACATAGCGCAAAGTATACTCTATTGTATTGAGCACAGAGGTTCGTGCTAATTGGAAATGAATGACACCTTACGACTCCAAAAATTTATTAGCAGAATCTTCCATAAAATACAACTATTTCTAGCTCGCAATTACAGCTCAAATAACAGTGTAAAACACACTGTTTACAGCCTCTGACGGTTCAATGAGCTCACAACAGACTTTCAAATCAGAGCACCATTACAGTCAACAAACAGACTAACACTCTCTCACTGATTTGACTTGATATGAGTGGGCATCTGACTCCTTTATCTCTCTAATTTGCCCTTAGGCGACTTTTGCCCTTAGGTGGAGGCTTGATATACGCCTAGAATACTAGTGTAATCTGGTGATGGTATACTCCTGAGTCGAGGATCATCTCAATACTCTCTCAGGGAAGGGCACTCCTATTTATATAGGCTTAGCGACGAAGCCCCGGAATTTACAATACGATTCTCGCGAACTACGTAAGTATTGGTCCTATCGCTTTGAAACTCTAGTTTTCAGAACAATCATTTCATGCCAAAATGGTCACCAAATCTCGCCAAGTCGGCAAAAATGTCATCAAACCAAGTCCTCCGTAAGAAAACATTAGGCGCATAGTTCTAATGTAATTCTTTCTTAATTACTTTAGAACTATAAGACTTTCTTGCAAATTTACTAATTAAACAGTTTATTTAGGATCCGTCTGAGATATTTAGACTCATAAAAAGAATATTTACAAAATTATACGCAAATTAACAATAGAACACTATCTTCCTTTTTGGATTTTAAGTATAATTGGGTTAGACTGACCTTTGACGGCCTTCAAAATCAGCAAATTCAACAACAAAGGTTTTTAAATCTGCCCAGTAAATTCTCTCTGTTACTTCATCGACAGTTACACAGGATGGAAAATACAAATCGTTCGTCACTATTACTACTCTCTCACTTCCATCTAAATCTGCTCTCTCTATTATTCCCCACTGGGACCGTGCAAAAACATTCCATATGCTCCAGAACATTATCCTAAAAACAAAGATATTTATTTAAAAAAAGCTGATTTAAAATTTTTTTAAATGATTGATGAAAGGCGATTAATTAGAAGCATATTACATATACTCCAAAACATTATTCTAACAATAAAAATAGTTATTTAAGCACGCTGATTCAACTAAGCTTTAAACAAAAAAGATTATAATGACGATAAATTAGATGAACTTTCTATATACTCCAAAACAATTTCCTAAACCAAATATAGTTATTGAAAATAGCTGATTCAACAAAGTTTTGAATAAAAGAGGATATAATTATAATTAATTAGAACAGCATTCGATATACTCCAAAACTTTATCTTTAAACAAATATAGTTATTGAAAAACACTGATTTATCAAAGTTTTGAACAAAAAAGGATATAATGACAATTAAGTAAAAGAACATTCTATATACTCCAAAACAATATTCTAAAACAGATATAGTTGTTGAAAAACACTGATTTATCAAAATTTTGAATAAAAAAGGATATAATTACAATTAAGTAGAAGAATATTCTATACTAGGAGGCTTCGCCACCTGCTCGCTGGCGCTCGTCAACCCCCGGAACTGCTTTCGCAGTCCTTTTCGGATTGCTCGCAATCCAATGCTCGCCTTGCTCGCTCATTGGATACGTTCTTAACGTCTAGCTTTTGTATACTTTTTTGAATACTGAAGTTCCGAAAACTTTTCACTGCAGAAAATTCCAAACCTGTACATTTCAATATTAATTTGAAAAAGCTAACAGTTCACATATTTTGCTTAATCACACTATTCTAAATTTCAGTTGTTGAGAAAAGTAACTGTTGTAAGTTTTGTTTTAAAGTCTTTCCCACCAGAGGGCTAAAGTCATGTGTTGTAAAATAATATGAAATAGTAGTCTGCCACTGAACGCCGGAAGTAAAGCATTGGCTTCCATGAAGATAATTTTGTATTTTTAATTCTCTGAAGGGCGCCACCCTAATAATATAGAATTTGTGAAATAAACGTATATATTTTTGATTGTTGATGAAGCCCATCATTTTGTGTTTTCATCAGTGTTCAGAAGCAGAACAACTATAAGTTTTTTATTTTATCACAAAAATATAAAATGTATAAAAAACAAAGAAAAGAGTAAGAAAATGAGTATAGTCATAGAAAAAGTTAAAATTATAATATAGTATTTGTCAGTTAAAATAAAACTTTTTGTTTAAGTCATTGCTAACAATTCAAATTTCTCCGAGGCAATTCTAAAGTATAAATTAAGGTAGTATTGTTAAGTTGAAACACAATATTTTTAGTTTTGATGTCAACAATACAATTCAATTTTTCACAAAAACGATTGTTTCCATTGTTAAGTTCAATGTCAACAATTCAAATTTTTCTGAGGCAACTCTTAACCTCTAAATATTATTTTTTTTATGTACACATTTCTAAATGTCAGTATTCAACCACAAAACAACTTAAAGTCCTCAAATTTAGCATGAAGTTGTAAAATGTAATGAAAGAGGGTCATAGCAATAATGAAAGTAGAAGTAAAGTTAGTACTGTAAAATTAAAACAATATTTTTAATCAATGAGCCAAGTTCTTCAAGAAGCAGTTGTAGAAGTAGGTTGTTTATTTAAAACTTTTTATAGAATTTCTTTAAGAACACAATTGTTAATTTGGGCATTTGGCGATACAACACTTTTAGAATTGAAGGATTTGTTACGTCAAGCGCTCAGGTATCATAATTTTGATCTAGTTGCGCTTCTATGTCATTTTGATTTATGTTGCTAAGTTAACTTTCAGAAAATTCTATGACTGGCAACAGCATTTATATTTTTTAAGTTGTTTATTTTTATTTCTTTGTTTTGTTTATTTTATTCGTTCTTTTTTTAGCGAAATGTTTTTTAACCTAACAGAATTCTTTGCCGACTGTTATCTGTATATATGAAGAAAATAAAGTAAATTAATTAATTCCTAATTGAGTTTAAATTAAATATTATCATGTTTTTAGGGCATGAATCTGAATTGAACAATCTGATAATGCTCACTCTGGTTATTGTTTTCGTTTTTAAAAGCGCTATATGTTGAGCCACCTCATCTAGATTTGCCATGTGACATTTTTAGCAGCAATCATTGGTCGATTTTCTAACGTTGCCATTCGGGGAGTTGCAATGAGGCTTTTTTTTGGTGCCGTGTATGAGAAATATATACATAGATACTCCAAAGCAATATTCTAAAACAAATATAGTTATTGAAAAACACTGATTTATCAAAGTTTTGAATAAAAAAAGGATAATTTGACGATTAAGTAGAAGAACATTCTATATACTCCAAAACAATATTCTGAAACAGATTTAGTTACTGAAAAACACTGATTTATCAAAGTTTTGAATAAAAAAGGCTATAATGAAGATTAATTAGAAGCACATACCATATACTCCAAAACATTATCCTAAAACAAACATAGTTATAAAAATGCTGATTTAACAAAGTTTTAAATGAAAAAGGGTATAATGATGATTAATTACAAAGGAGAGTAAACTGTAACCGTATTATTGCAACCATTGGTTTCCCATAATTCATTTATTTATTTATTTAATTTTTTTTTACTGGTAGACTTTTATAAACACCACAACATTTCAACTTATGGTTTGCAAAAACTTCATCAATTGATATTTGCTTTCTTGTCATGCAATGGGCTGGATTGATTTTTAATTTCTAGGATTATACGTTTCTCAAGACAGCAGAAATTATTATTAAATTATTTAAAATTATCTTCCTTCTTCATTATTCATAAACATATTAAAATTGATGGCCAAGAGAGTAATTATGAATAAGTTAATCATAAAAGGAACATAAAATTATTCTTAGAACAAACACATTACGTAAAAAAAAGTTTAAAATGCAAGTTGTTGAAAATAAATGTAAAAACCTTAGTCTGGAGAACAATCATCCTTAAGAAGTTTCAAAATTATAGCCTGTTTGCTTTTATAATCGCGATCGCAACGAACTATAGGGGGCGTTGTTGTATGAGATCTTTATAGGTCACATTAGGAAAACATTTATCGGTCATCAGGAAAACATTTATCGGTTATCAAGAAACCATATACAGGTTATCTGGAAAACATTTATATGTTATAATGACAACTTTATAAGTCATAAGGAAAACATTTACTAGTTATTAGGAAAACATTTACTAGTTATTAGGAAAACATTTATAGGTCATTATCAGGAAACCAGTTTACGATACGTATGCTTAACATCGATGGAGCACTAATTCGATAGTTACATGCTAGGAATCAGATTGTCGCAGCAGGGCACATGAGTATTGACATAATTACTGTAGACTCTTTGCATTATGATGCGCGTTAGCTTTAAACGTCCTAGATTAGCTCAGAAAAATTAAGACTCTATAAATCAGCAAGCATTACACTTGCAGTATTGCTAGGTGTTGTTGTTGCCGATCCTTTGCGATCCAGCTCCAGCTGGGTCAAATTCATGACTACGAAAATCCTTGAAAAATCAAGCTCCAAATGTGGTTTCAAGGATAGGCCTCTGAATTCTGGATTTATACAACTTGAAATTAAAGAGAAAATTTGTCATATGTACGTTAGAAGTGTTTAGAGTTCAACTTAGTGGCGTACAATGATATGTCTATCAACTTTCTACGCTTTTTGCGAACATTTCTCCTTGTGGTAGGTAAGTTTATGTTTTAATGCATAATTCTTTGTTTTGTTAATTTATTTTAAAGTTGTTTTCTACACCATTACATGCAAATGATTCAAAAGTGCACATAAAATGTCACTTTGATCCAGATCTCTAGTGGTAAGGCTTTTGAAATATTGGTCAAAAGACCAAAAATTCTGATGGATTCGCATCACTGGCTGTGGTCGGAAAGCGGTAGGTGTCCATTTCGATCTGCCTTGGTAGGGACTGAGGATGCGTGGTATCTGTCCTTTTTAAACTGTTTTACCTTGTAGTGATCGACTTCACACGCAGGTCATCGAGCTACCAAAGCGGGGGAGCTATCAATTCTGCAGAGGATCAAAATTGTGATGGCATGTCCTCTTTTCATCTTCAGGGATGTTTCCTAGATCATCGCCAAATAACGCAGCTCTTGTGCGACGTAAATAAAGTAAATACCTAAATAGAAACTAAAGCGGAAAGATACTTGATATAAAATTTGCTTAGATCAAACAAAAAAAAAAAAGAAAAAAAAAATAGTGCATGGAGTCCCTCCGCGCGGAAGAAGTTAAACTTCGCAACCCACTACGTTAATTGTAGAAGAATCAGCAGTCGTAAAAGGATCACTAGTTCTATTTAACGATTCTTTTTCCTGCTCCGCTCGCTTCCGTGCTCTGTAATCACGGTAATATTGTGCATTTTTCTCTCGTGGACCTCTTGAACCAGTGGAAGTGCTTGTGGTTGCCTCATCGTCTCGTCCTGGAAAATGTATTTGTACTAATAATGTATGTGAATGCGTCATAATGTAATTTCAGAAGAGAAAACCTAACAGTCAATTGATATTCACAAGAGACGTACCTTGACATAACCTTAAATCCGTCGCATTGTCCGTGGGTTTGTTTTCACTCGTTTTTTACAATTGTTATCCACTAAATTTGAAAATAAAAAATACTATCCTATTAAATTATATGTGTATCAAAGCAAACTAAAAAAATATTTATAGAAAAACAATACTTTTATGACTTTTATTATTTTTATGCTAGTGAGAACCAAAACAATATGGAAATAAATGAGGGAAAACTGGATCCTTCCACGTGATTTCCCGGCCAATGTAGCGTTAAACGGTTAACGCAACCTTGTTGGAAGTCGCATAAGAAGTATAATTTCAAAAAAAAAATATGAAAATGGTAATAAAAGACGGCATGTTTAGAGCACTCATAAAATAAGCGCTTGTTTTCAAAACCAGCTAGACATGAAAATTCACCAGCAAATGAGTTTTTATATTAACTATTATTTTATATTATGTTTGAGGTTGAACTATAAAGTAAATGGAAAGACAAATGGTATCTTACCCGTTCTTTGGTGATATATCAAAACCGCTACTGAAATAACCTGCATTTAGTATGGCTGTTGCACAATATTTACCACTTTCGTTGCAGGCAACTATAGACCCATCATCATTGGTATAAAAGAAAGTTCTGGTCAACCAGTCCCACTTCACGGATGTTGGCCGTATGGGGGTCGTTAGCAAGGTGATTCTTTCGTTCGTTATTGGGGCATAACTATTCAAAGTGCTCTGCAAAAAAAAAAAAATGTTTCAAATGCATTTTTAATTTAATATTTTGTGCAAAAGTAAAAAATGTCATTTGATCAATTTTTTTAACTCTATCATGCTTTAAGATTTGTGTTTTTTCATAATTTATCCGAATAAATTGAACTATTCGATCAAAAAAATCTGATTATCAGTTCCAAACCTAATCCAATAAAATTTAGATTATTAAAAGCAGGAAAGCAATAAGGCATATCAAAACTTTTCTAACGGAACGTTCTGCGATGTTCTAAGATAGTTTAACTCGAAAAAAAATCTACATTTTAATGGAAAATTTATTGTATTGTATCTTTGATTGGTTGGTAGTCTGGTCCATGGGTAGTCTACTAGATGGTACCGTGGGTGGTCCACACAGCCTCAGCTACCTGAAAGCAAATGTCCGCATATGAAAAAAAAAAGGTTACCTTTAATATTGCGTCCTTATTTCAGGCAACTGAAATGTGTATGATAGATCTCATTTTTCTAGCAGATACCAAATTTTTCCCCATTGTAGCTATGCAGAACTTGCATATTATTTTTTTGTGATATCTTTATAATGACTTATTGATTAATGCTTTCTTATTATCATATTTTTTATTAAGCAATAAATGCTCGTTAATTCGCCTCTCCAAGTATTAAAAAATGGCTATATTAGAGTTCTCTCTTTTCTTTTCTTTTTTGTCTTTTTATTGTGTAATTTATAGATTTATTCAAAATTTTTCTAACAATTATGAGAACTTAAAAAAAGGACATACATTTATAAAAAAAAATTGCAATACTAATAGAAAAATAATTGCAAATCAAAATAAAAGAACTGAATTTTTAAATAACCAAATTTTTCCTAATAATAATGAATACAAAATTTTAACTAGGCAACTTCATCTCTAAGATTGAGAATTCAACTGCCGAACATGAAACCTAATATAAGATGAGTAATGATAAAACGATGAAAAGATTTCAGTCATCGTTTTCTTTTAAATATAAAAAAGTTCTAAAAGTAGAAACAAAGTAGTCTTTTAATGGAATATATAATAAGGAAATAGTTAATACGAACTTAATTGTCTTTATTTACTTTAATTATGAAGTCGGGGTTCCACTGGAAGAAAATTGATTATTTAGGGTTCCGTAGCAGAAAAAAATGGGAACCGCTGGTCTAGATAGTTCACGAAAATGTAGTTCCAATTTTTTTTGTAGACAAGTTTGGTTATTTAACTAAAGTGAATTTCATTATCATTTATAGCTTTTAATAAGGTACGGAACCTGAACAATTTTTATTTCATAGTATTAATCAACAGGCGATAAGTGCTGTAAATTGAACTAATTTCTATAACAAAAATTAAAATATGCAATTTTGATAATTTTTTCTGAAATTTAATAAATTCATACCATTTGAGGAATTCATAACATTATCGATTTCTCTGAAATTTTATAAATTCGTAACAATAGTAAAATTCATAACATTAGTGGTTTCTCTTAAATTTTATAAATTCATAACATTAATGGAATTCATTACTTTAGCGGTGAAATTCCTTACATTAGTGCATTAGTGGCCGACCCAATTTTGAGTTTATAACTACCAATGCTCAACTCCGCAGCTTTGTAATTTTGAGCCCAACTCAGAAAGATAAGGGAACTCCTGGATCAAATATTGAGCTCAATTCGTCTTAATAGAGCCCTTTTTGATGGAACTAATTTGCAGCGTTACAAGGAGAAGAAAACTACGAAAACCTTTCTCGGTCAGCCCAAGAATAAGGGGATTCTAACCCATTATCCATCTACCACTGAGAATATTTTACGTTAACACTGTTGTCGGTGTAAGCCGGGTACGAAATTCGTAATAAACACCCATCGCTGGTACTCTAACCTGGGTGATCTCATCGGGAGGCTAGAGCTCTATCTCCTGAGTCATATTATCTCTATAATGAATTGCTACTTTTGGAACAGAAAACATTACTTACGAGTTTCCAGTCAGTCCAAAAAAACTTGAATTCCTCTGCATCGTAGTCCAAACCACGCATATCCCCACCTTCATCGCTATAGAACATTGTATGATAGTTAGTGCTCATCTGAAGTCCTCCTATTGAGTCAGATAGCAGATATACTAAAGTCGCTTGACCGCCATTTGGCATGCATTTTCTGCGATCTTGCGTCAAGACGTATGCATCAACGCAGCTGCATTCGACACCACCTATCGTATTGTTGCAAAGCTGGCTGCAGTATCCTGGCATAGAACACTCATTAATGTCTTTACAAGTAACTCCGTCATCCATTAACTCGTAGCCAGAATTGCAAGAACATTTTGATCCAGTCGGAGTTTTACTGCACTTTTGCGAACAATTCCCATTGTTTCTGCATGCCGTATAGCATAGGGGTCCTTCATCCGTTCCATCTGTACAATCAGCATTTCCATCGCAGGTTTTTGTCCACGGAATACATTTACCAGATAAATCGCAAATGAATTCTGTGCATGCTAACCCTGAAAAACATATGAACATTATTACTAAAAAAAAAAAAACTGCATGAATAAAGCACAAATGAAAATACATAAATGTACGTACTATAGTTTCGGTTTTATACACAATAACCTTCATCAAGGTCTAAGCACCAAATGGTAATAGAGCAGTAAAGAGCAGAGTGGTTTAAGCAATAGGGACAGAAGAACAATTTTGAACAAGATCGCCGAATCGATTTAATCTTGACTGCTTCAACTCAGTTTTGTTGTTCATTATTCTCAATGAAAATATTTTAAACGTATTAGTTCAGTTATTTTAGTTTTGATTCCTTTAACCCAGGGGTCGCCAAACTTTTTTGATTATCGACCCCTACATAATTTTTCGAAATCTCCATCGACCCCCGCAAAAGTAATTTTCTGTTAATTAAAATAAAACTCTATTAGATACTGTGTTTGTACATTTATTTTATGATTTTAAACATTTATTAAAGTAATAGTACATTATGTAACAATAGTTTTATGAAAAATATATTAATATTGAAATTTAAATACCTTATTATTAAATAATAAGTAATTATGCATAAGTAGATATAATAAGTAAAGTTACTAAAGATTTACTGCTTCTTGATCAATAAGATGGGTGGGCCTGGTGTTTTTTTGCAAGGTTCGCCATATTGGGTTCAAAATGGGTCAATTTTAATTTTCGTCAAAATTGGTCAATTTTGTAATTTTCGTAAAAAAATACAAAGTGTGCTATAGTTTTGTCGCGGGCTGTACTAATCCATATCATTAATGCTTACCTTCTTTTTTGTGCATTGATAAATAAAATTGATATCTAAACCAAACGAATGGTTTTATCGAAACAATAACTAATTATCCAAAAATATAAAAGTTTTAATAATGACACTGCAAATATTCAACACAGTTTGCAAAGATAGTTGAAACTGCGTATGATATTTGCATTTGTAACGTCAATGCTCGTCACACGTGACATTTGGACAAGC